GTCACATATTTTTGAGGACTGCCTGTGAGGTAGTACTCATATGCCATCAGATTTCGAAACAATGATTCTGTTGAATCAGAAATTTCCCATTCTGGAATGATCATTGCCTTTTTATTGAATTCAATATGAAATGAACTCTTATCTTCCGACTTTTTGAAGGAAATCCCTGCCTCTTTAAGCTCTAGAGCTGAATTTATATTCGCCACGTTATCTGTATTTCCAGATTGCAAATGAGAGATTTTTTTTGCAAATGAAGAACACTGGATGTCATGTACAATGCCAAGAAGATGGTGACCAGTAATAGGGACTTCAGGAAGATCTTGCGCCGGTAAAATGCTATTTCCTAGTAAAGGCGATATTAGAGATTCGACGTTGTCTTCATCATTGATCTTGATCATGTTAAACAATTGATCAATGATGAAAAATGGGATCTGATTCTCTGATACCATTAGATCATGAAGCAAATGGCCCACTATATGCACATACTGGAAAATGCGGTCATTTTCATCTCAATATTCTGGGTGTTGAAACTTACGGAGAAATTCGATGATAAAACAACCATCAAGAATCAACATTTGCACGAATTTATCTTTATCAAGTTGGATGTCTTCTGCATAACATTTCCGCGCCTTCTCTTCTAACTGTCTTATAGTGGCAACGTATCTTTCTACGCTCGACTCTTTTCTTCTTTCCAGAAGCAACTTTAGATACCAGACTTTGTGCTGCTCCATGTTCTGCAAGTTCTTTTTATCGCTGTGAAATGGGCCAATAGCTATTATTTCTGGATTATAAGCCTCTGGATTTATGCTGCGCAAATGATCGCTAACTCTAAACATTGACGGCTTTGAAGGTGCAGAAGACAAGCTATTAAGCATATTATCAATGTTAACAGTGACAGAGTCTGCTCCTGTCTGAGACATTTTTAATTGTTCGTGGAAAGTCAAAAACAACTACCTTGATTTATCAACAAACTAATCTATAAAATTCTGTGCAAACTTTTGAAAAAACTTTATTATGGATCGAAAATCCAAAATTTCTGGCTAACTCACATAATCTTTTTCTGAGGATTTCTTGATTAATCAACACTGAATGCCTTGTCAAATGTCAACTCTCCCCATGAATCTTCCCTTCTCCCAGCTTGAAATTTGCCAGCCGATGAGATCTGAAATTGACTAGCTACTGGGTAAATCGCTATGTGAAGGAATCAAGAAAGATAGGTGCAAACGCAGGGAGTAGAATGACAACTTTTACTGGTAAACTGATCAACTAGTCAACAAAAAAACCTATTGCCCAGGCTGCTGCTTTCAGTCGATCTGTTCTTACTTAGAACTTACTGTGGAAACTACGAGTTTTACTTGTTAACAATTTCCGTACATTGATGCCGATAATTATCTTGAAATTAGAAGTATGCAAACTGTATAATCAAAAGTAATTATTGTCTGTAAAATTTTAAATACCACTTGGCCCAAAATTCTTGCCAGTGCAATACTATAAGGGTGTGCTTAATTGCAAGCATGAATTTTACATGGAAAAAAAATTTTAATTTTAGATAATTTAATTGCTTAAAATTTATTTTGATGAAAGTTGTCAATTAAATATGTTTGATCAAACTTAGAAAATGTTATATTTATCAATTTTTTATTAATGGTAAATGAGAGA